AATTATAGATATATATATATATATATATATATATATATATATAAATAAAAAATAAAAACTAACAGTAGAATAGAAAATTAAGCAAGTAAAAAGAAAAATAGGAAAAAGGATATGCTGAAAATCAAGTATACACAATGAATCAAGGATGATGAAGAGCCATAATGAAGGAATTGACGTTTTAGAACAAGAAATCAAGATAAAAATAGAAAGAAAGTCAAATGTAACATGATCAAATAAATCACAGATTAGAAAACGTATGAAGATGGTGTACAGAGTTGAGCTGCAATTGTTTCATCTAAGTAAAATTTCACTTCAACAAACTACAGCAGATGATACACATTGTAACTCAAGAAAGCAATCCGTATGCACAAATGTAAATGAATACAATGCAGTGGACATGACTTGTAATCAGGAAAGGACAAAGTGAAAGAAAACTTTTATAGTTAAAAAAATGTCATAAATAATTCTATTTTACCCCTTATACTTGCTATTGTGCCAAAGTTACCTTGGACCAGATAACTCAACTGCATGTAGATTTTCAGTTGAGTCAACAATCCAATCGGAATTCGGATGCGGGGCAAGCTCCACTTCCTGCCGGAGAACTTCCACCTTTTGCCACTCGTCCCATCTTTCTGCCAAGCCGTCACCTTCGAGCATTCGCACCACTTCTGACATCTTAGGCCGGTCCATAGGGGAACCTTGTGTACAAAGCAGTGCAACCTGGATTAACTGTTCTACCTCAGCATCTATGTAATTGCTTTGGAGATCAGGATCAACCAGCATTTCTAGCTTCTTTTCTTTCAGAAGTGATTTTACCTAAGAACATACTCAGCTGTGTCAGATTTGGACATGGCAGTACTATTTCAAGAAAGAAAATAATGCATCCATCAATACAAGCAATCAGATCTCAACTATGAAGTTTATTACAAGTAACATGGAGTATAAACATGTGATTGTCTCATAGAAGATCATGAATGATACTTCAAATGAATACATGTCAATGTTCAACATCATGCTAATCCTTTCCAATTAGAGGCACAGCGTTTTTTCTTCCCTAAATGAAAGTGTAATCAGCTATTTCTCCAGTAAGATCCAGCAGGTTACATTTGATGTCATACATATTCCTTTCAACAAAATAAGTGCTAGTATTTCGAAACACAATAAGAAAATCAAAATTAGTACAATGGTGGCAAGAAAAGGCAAATATGAAATATGTTCCTCATTCCCTTTACCATCTAGGGGCATAATTACTCTTCAAAATCATCAGTGTGGGTAGTATTAAAAGAAGGAAAAATATTACTTGGGGGTTACATTAAATTCAAATACTTAACACAAATATATGCTTTAAAGGCAACATACCCAATCCAGCAACATAACATCATCATCATTTGCAAGACGTGCCAAGTCAAAAGCCCTTTGTCCAGTGATCAGCTCCAGAAGCATTATACCATACCCAAAGACATCAGTTTTCTCTGAAGATTTACCAGTGGATAGGTATTCTGGTGCTATGTGCCCAATGGTGCCCCGTACAGCTGTTGTAACATGGGTGTCCTTGTAGTCCATCAGTTTAGCCAACCCAAAGTCCCCAACAACAGCTTCAAACTCCTCGTCCAATAGTATGTTTGCAGCTTTTACATCACGATGAATAATCTTTGGGTCACAATGATCATGCAAGTATGAAAGACCCCTTGCTGATCCCAATGCTATACGTTTCCTTGTTGGCCAATCGAGGGGTTGTTGATGTGCCGGACGCTCTACAATAATGCAAATACAAGATCACGACACATTGTGAAAGAAGAGTTAAAGTTAAGAGTGCTTCTTGACTAATTTTACCATATTCCTGACTTTGATAAACATCATTCTAAAGATATAACTTAGGATTTTATAACTAGAAGTCTCTTTTTTACCACAGATGACAAGTAAACTTTGACCAAACCACAGGTGTACAAATATAAACTATAATTTATCATTTTCATTAGAATTCTTTCAAAATGCCAGAACTGGAGCACCTTAAAACTGTCTACTTTAATACCTAGTGGCAAGCAGAGGTAGAAGTTGAAAGTTGAGAGGAATATTAACCGGTAATGATGGGGGATCAAGAAAGGAGTTGAAAAACTCCTAGTGCACAACAGTTGAAAAATTAGAAAGCCAAACTGAGGTCATATGTAACTCATATGCCAAGCCATCCCCTAAAGACCTAAGTCACTACATAGCAAAAAACCAGAGTAAGGGCCTTTAACATATGGCAGATTCTATTTTCTTGCTTATAGGCCTAATGGCCTCCATGGACTAGAGGAGAAAATAGGAAAATCCCTACCTCTTAAGCATGAGGCAACACTTCCATTAGCCATGTAAGGATATACAAGTAGCCTTTCAGTTGGCGTCATACAGAATCCACGTAAACGGAGGAGATTGCGATGCACAGCCATACTGATCATCTCTACTTCAGTCTGAAACTGAAGCTCCCCACCAGGCGTCCGCTCCTCTTTCAATCTTTTCACGGCAACCAGTGAGCCATCTGCCAAGCGTCCTTTATACACCTTACCAAATCCTCCCCTTCCAAGAATGTTCTTATTGCTGAAAGTATCTGTTGCAACTTGCAGTTCTCGTAGTGAGAACCTCTTAAGCTGTCCAAGGTGTACCTCAGGATCCTCTTCAGCTGCAATTAGACGCAAGTAAGTCAAATTCCACCCAATGAATTTATTCAACAAATACAGTACTCAACTGGATTGGATGGGATAGCTCACCAGGAACATCAAAGAAAAATTCTTGTGGTTTCCTTCGACGCCACCATGCAAATGCAATTGCAGGAGCAGCAAATAACAGTGCAGCACCTGCAGCTACTCCTCCAGCTATTGCACCAGTGGGACCATTTGTTTCTGCAATTAGATAGAGGAAAGTTGAAACATCAGTGCTTCTTTTATCACGAGGTGTTCAAGAACATATATAACAAAATATAACTGTAAACATGAAGCAAAAACAGGGATTGAACCTATTAAAATGGATAACTGACCAATGACTTTTTATTCCAAGTGGATCATTAAAGATTTTAATCTTCAAAACTTAACAAGAAAATAAACAGCAGCAATGGAGAATGAACAACAAGTCTATGTAGATTGATACGAACTTGCTAGCATGAGACAGTAAGAGCCCTAATATGTTAAATGAAAAGGAGAAAAGCACCATATTAATACCTATAATTAAATTTCAATCAATAAAAAATAGAAAAAATTAGTATGTTGGAAATGACCAGTCAATATAATCACATACATTATAAAAAATTGAAATAGCCACCACCACAGGTATAGCATGAACTTTAAGTTGAAACCCAGGTTGAGAAAAAATAAGAATAGCTATAGAAGTTATGTCAAATATATAGATAACAGTGTTATCTAAACTTAAAAGCTTCAAATTAGCAATAAAGATTACCTGGAGGTGAGATTGGGGGTGGTGGGACAAAAGGGGGAGGGGGAGAAAATGGAGGAGATCCAGGACAAGGATGCCCAGTGACTGGGCCACATAGATCCAAATTGTTGGTAAAACTGCAAGAAGAGCAGTCCAATCAGAAATCATTAGCTAGTCAAAAGCACAGCAAGCCATGCAAATATCTCAAAGATGATCAAAAAACCTGATAGGAGTGAATAATGAGAAGGAGCCATTATCGGGAACCACACCCGAGAGACGGTTGTTAGACAAATCCCTACAGTTTAAAGTAAATATTGAGAAAACATTAGCTTTGCATACAAACATCATGAAGAGATATTAGCCACGAGTTGAGGTAAACTGGCTCACAGCACTTGGAGAGCAGTAATATTAGTCAGTGGCATGGGAATAGGGCCAGTCAAGCTGTTGTTGTTAAGCCGGCTATCCTTAGGCAAACATACCAGGAAAATGGTATTAGATCTTATATTCTACAGTGATATCAGAAATACATGCACAAGACATCATATTGAGATTTTACAGTTCTACCTTATGAAATAAACTTATGACAAAAAAATAACGAGTTAATCATCCATACACTGCCAGTGTAAAGTTTTTTACACTAGCAACCAATCATATCTTTTAAATCATTTTATTTTATTTTAATTTCATTAAATAAGCAACTGACATGGCACTATTAAAAGATATGATTGGTTGTCAGTGTAAAAAAACTTTACACTGGCAGTGTATAGGTGATTAACTAAAAAATAATAGTATTTATATCTGAAGTAAATATATTTCCCTTTTTCATTTTGGTTCACTTAAATTTTTTCAAAGAAACATGCATGACAAATTAAAGAAATGTATGTATACCGAGAGCCAAATGAACATGATTTAATTAATGAAGAAAAAGAAAACAAATGTTTTGGGGCAGGGGACGAGTGAAGGAGTAATTTTGGGTAGACAAGAATAGAATGAAAGTTCCTTCTGAGTAATTATTCAAACTTAGTATTTCAATATGCATTTAGAACCAAGAATAAAATCTTTGGTTGTATTAATGGTTAGATTTCAGTCAGGAATGTTGCATGTAGAGGACAATTTTCTTTTGATTGGTTTTAACTCTCAAATAATAGACTTAAAAATTTCAAGTTTGTAAACAGCTCCCTTTGATACAGAGAATTTGCAGCAAACCCAAAACCATAGTTGGATGTAATTCATCTAATTTTTAAATTTATTTTAGAACTTAATTAGTATGTACCGAGACTGTTCTCTAATATAGGATGATTGTTGACTTTTATAATAATTCCTTTAGAAGTCATATTTAAGATGATTTCTATTTAGTTGACAGTACAAATATCTTTACATTGACAATGTATGAAAATTAAATTCTATCATAACCCATAAGAATTTGTTTTGTCATCTCGATTTCAATATTTTAAGTTTTTAACTCAGGAAGAAAGCACTTAAGCATATTCACCTTTTCATATACGCTAATGGGAATTGATTGTAAATCATAATGCAAACCAAGTTTACTGACGATAAATAATGGAATTCATGACAAAAACAATTTCTTAAGAATTTCCACAGAATATATATAGAACAAATCATTCCAACAATAAGTATACTCACAGGAAACGCAATTTTGATAACTTGCCCAATGACTCTGGGATAGGTCCACTGAAGCGGTTTAGATAAAGATCCAAGCTCACCAAGTTAGTAAGATTCCCCAGGTCATTTGGAATTGGGCCACTAATGTTATTGCTGTAAAGCTCCCTATTATGAAAAAATATGAAGATATCAGATATCCAAATTAATATTTTGTAAAATTAGCATCTAGCTAAAACTTAAAAAATTTCATGAAAATTATATCAATGACTGCTAAGCAATCACCACTTTTGTTTCATAAGTATTCCACTATGGCCCTATCATATAAATAAGAGTCATACAGCTGTTAAAGTTAAAGTTAAAAATTTCTTTTAAAAAATATTTAATGCAGAAACTCAGAGAAACACTGTTTTCTTCAGGAATAAAACAAATGCAACATACAAGTATGGGAAATTCCTCTATTGGATTAACTTCAAAAGATTCCTTTTCAAATATATTAGAAAATTTAGAATACGATCCACACAATCCCAAAACACAGGAGGCCTTGGATTACCTCTTTAAGAAACTTCTGATCAAGTCAAATGCAACTGCCGAATCTCAAACTCAAATAGATAGCATAACCAAAGAGAACCTATGCACAATTATAATGCTAGTCAAACCACCCTTAGCCAAATCCATTTTCAATTTAGATAGCTTCTCAATAATCCATATCCAACAGTGTACAGATAAATAGAGGCTAGAACATTCTCAAGAGTCAAGACAAACCCTCAACTCCCCCTTCCCTCCTAACATAATACATCACCATGCCCAAATTAAAAACCAAACAGCTACAAAAACAAAGAGGAATAAAAGTTCCCAGAGAGAATCACACATAAAAAGCTTGCTTGTCACTGCCCCCATGCCATGGTTTTCATTGGCCAGTTACAAAGGTTATTCATATTATCTTTAATGTTACTGATATGATGGGCTTCATCATGCTTTGGATACCTTAGCTAAAGTCACCAGTTACAGAAAATATTATAATTATTTTGAATAATAAACTAAATTACAATAATAACATGCACCTATTCAGTCTGTTTCTTACATAACAACCTTACCACCTAAAGTCTGCAATGTAAAAACTGAATGGCGTGTTATAGAAAGAACACAACTTCAAAAAGTGAGAATAAATAATGTAAATAACCATAACCTTAGAGATTTGAGGACCAATGTTGGCCATTAAGAAGACAACGCAGAAAAAATATTGTTTCAAAAGAATGCAGCTCCTTTGCAACTCAAATGAAATGACAACAATCTATAACCTGTAGTGTTTTGCTCCACATTATTGGAAGACCTTTCCTATGATGATACTATTTTAAATTTGTAATAGAAAACTAAACTGTCAAATATAATATTAACAAAAAGGAAAACAAAACATGTCATCCATTAACCAAGTTCATAAAAAAGTTATAAGAGGAAAACTAAAACTTTGAAACATCAAAGGATGAAAGTATAACATACAAATACTGTAAGTTTTTGAGTTGGCCAAGCTGCGGAACAAGTTGACCAGACAAAGCAGCATTTCCCAGATCACTGATATTAAACCAAAGGAAAGAACACATCAAAAAAAGATGAAATTAAGCTGTACAAATATAGAACGAACATGAATGTGATGATATCAAGGGACATGCAGCTTACACTCTTATGACACTATTGTCATTGTTGCAGGTTACATGAAACCAAGTGCATGGATTGACAAGTGTAGGGTCCCAACTTTGCAAAACATTGTTAGGATCCTGTAAATTTGTCCTCAGGCTATGTAAGGCGTCACCTGTTTCACAATACAAGGACAAGAGATCAGGTGCTGTAAAAATGATGAACTTCAGAAGCAAAGTTGCAAAAATTAATCTGCTAGACACTGCAGATAAGAAAGCACCATAGTGATAGGATTTGAGCAATACATTTCAGCTTCCCCCCCCCCTCACAGACACAGTAAAATAAAACAAAACAAGTTCAGCAGTATGTGAATGAAAACATTAGGATCGGGTCCCCTACTAGACAAACAAGTACAAACAATTGAGGAAAAAGATAAGCGTAATGAAAACTGTTCCTATTCCATGAGTAATCATTCAATACTGTTTATATTTATTCTATAACCATAAGGACATAACCCATCTTCTGAGCACTTGGCGTACCCAGAGGGAAGGCATTGTCATCAAACACTCAAATAGAAAACCCATAAGAAATTAAGACCAATGAGACAACAACAATCCTCTATGAATCAACAGATGCAATGTCATGTCCCTCAGAACATCTTCTGTACCCCAAAAGAAATGATGATCACATCAAAATCACTCCAACACTTGACATTCCACAACCGCTAGAAAAAACAGAACACAAACGGCACAAACAATGAAAGGTTCAACCCATTGATCCAACTCAAACACAATCAAGGAATTAACATGCATAAACTCCTTTAAAAATGAGCCACAAAGCAAAGAGTTATATCAACACAAACCTTCCATGTTAGCAGAAACCAACCACAATGGGTGAGCTAATAACACCCACCAGATGAAAACAGAACCCCACAACTCTCTCTCCATCAAAAACTAAGTAACTAGAACAAACCTCAGATCCAAATGACACCTCACCCCCCAACACACCATCACAAAACCAAACCTTATTCTCCTCAAAAACCCAAAATGCCACAAAACCCTAACCCCCAAAAAATCTCACATGCAAGTAACCACCACCAACACACCCAGAACCCGATCTCATCCAAACAAACCTATTCCAAAACAACCCTCAAAAAACAATAATCACAACATTATCCGAATTTTCCCACGTTCTTCTTTTTTTAAGTAAAAAAAAAAAAAAACTTTTTAAATTTTTTTCTCTCTTGTGATTCTAAAAGCACACACTTTTTATTATTTTTCTCTTTCTGTATTTATCTTCGAAGGTGGTGAGTGTAATAATAATAAGAGAGTGGAGTTATGGTGTGTTGAGTGAGGCGTGCTGTGAGTGAGGCTGCCCGAACGGTGCTGCCCGCTGCCCGAATCCAGTCAAAACGCCTTCGCGCTATATCGCGGAAAGCGACATGAGGCAAAACCCCTCCGTTTTGGGGTCAATGAGCGTGTGAGTTTGGTGGGTCCCACGTCTCGACCTTTTATGCGTTATTATGTTTTTTATATGCTTTTCTATCTTCTTATTTATTATTGCTATACCATGTTATTATTGTTCGTATATGCCATGATTACAGTGACTTCTCTTTGACTATCCATGCTATTCCTAGTAATAATTTTATGTTACGGCTTTTTTTGTTTGAAAATTATGCTGATGTTTTTTTAATATAGAATTGACTTAATTGTAATTTTAATCTCTTAAATATTATAATTGTGCAATTTTAATCTTTAAGATTTTAATTAAGTAATTTTAGTCTAAAAAATTATAATTTTATAATTTTAGTTCTTTAATTTTTAATTAAAAATTTTAGTCCTTCAAATATCATAATTGTGCGATTTTAATCTCTCATTAAAAATTTAATAATTTATTTTTATATATATATAATATTTTAAAAGTATATAATTATTTGCCTATTCAAGTTAACATATATTATAATTTTTATTAATATATCAAATGATATATATTTATTATTACTAAATAAATAAAA